GACTTCAAGAAGTAATGTCGAGGGGCTAGGATTTAGCTCAGCGGCACAGCGCCTGCCTGGCAAGCGCATGGTTGTGAGTTCAATTCCCGGTACCGGAAGAAAAACACAAAAAGAAAAAAAAAAAAGTACTGTAGGTATGTGACATCTGTGAACTCAGTACACCTAACAGTAATATATTCTACGTATATATATGATATATATATGTCATCATAGATGACATATATATAATTCTTGTTGTTGTTTTCTGGTACTGGGAATCAAACTCATGACCTTGCGTTTGCCAGGCAGGCGCTGTGCTGCTGAGCTAAATCCCCAGCCCCATTCTACATACATTTTTATAGTTTTTTAAATCTTAAAGGAGCAAGTTTTTCTAGTTGACAGCATTGTTTAAAAGCAGAGGTAGCATTTCTCTACATAAAAAAGATGCAAACCCTCTCTTCCGATCCTCTTGTGATTGTACTATTTTAAAATCTGATAAAACTCCTGGGGCAGGGGCTGGGGGTTTAGCTCAGCGGCACAGCGCCTGCCTGGCAAGCGCAAGGTCGTGAGTTCGATTCCCGGTACTGGAAAAAAACAAACACCAAAAAAAAACCTCCAGGGGCAGGACATGTCTTCAAAAACGTGTTTCCCTTGGAGTTTAAACTTATTAGTAATTTAAGTCATAGCTAATATTTAAAGATACAAAATGATTTTACAGTTTTGTAGGTAAAGCTGTGGGATGAGTTGGAGCCGAACGTTCCGTGTGTGTGCAGTAGCACATCACACTGGTTCCCCTCTGCTCAGCCACTTGGTCTTCCTTCCCCAGACACGCCCTGTGCTTGCGCAGCTCCGCACCCTGACTGTGTTTCCCCTTGGACCCTGACCACTTTCATCGTGTGCCCTGAGCGCCGTGGCGGGTTAGAAGCAGGCGCTCCAGAACCAGACTGCTTGGATTAATGTCAGGGCTGCTCCTTAGCGGCCTGGTGATCTTGAGCCCTTACTTCAGCTCTCTGTGCTCAGCTCTCTCGTCTTTGAGAAAGGATGTTTTTACAGCTACCTCATGGTTTAAGAGGATTGAATGAGGGAGCCACATCTGTAATCCCAGCTGTCTAGGAGGCTGACTCAGGAGGATCACAGATTCAAATCAGCCTGGGCAACTTACTGACTCCGCAAGACCCTGACTCAGATAAAATAAAAGAGGTCTGGGGATGTAGCTCAGTGTGAAGGCCCTGGGTTAAATCCCCACTACCACCAAAAAAAGAAAAAGAATTAAAGGTATTAATGCCTATAAAATATTTAGAACAATTTCTGGCACACAAATTATATAAATATTAACTTGTATTATCATGATTTTTTTATTATGTACACAAGTAGTTACTGAGTTCTTTGAGGGTAATAACTTTGTATAGATTGTGTTCCTTTCAAGGCATGGCCCTAATTTTGTAACTATCCAGTGAATGTTTATTGATTCAAATACGAATAAAGTGAGCAATGGAAAAGGACCTGGAAGGCTATCTTCCAAAATGGCCTGGTGCTTAAGATTATAAGAGTTCCTTTTTTTAAAATTTATTTTTGTTTTCTGGTTCTTCTATAATGCATATGTATTACCTTCTTAATAAATTATTTTTTCCCAGTACTGGGAATCAAACTCACAACCTCGTGCTTGCCAGGCAAGCGCTGTGCTGCTGAGCTAAATCCCCAGCCCCAATAAATAAATTACTATAGCTGGGCATGCTGGTGTATGCCTACAGTCCCAGCTGCTTGAGAGGCTGAGGCAGGAGGATTCCTTGACTCTGAGAGCTAGAAGCCAACCTGGGTAACATAGTGGGACTGTCTCAAAAAAAATTATTGCAAAATAATCCTTCCTTAGGTGAACAAGAAAAAGAACATAGAAATTCATGTACAGAGGCAAATTTATTATTGCAGAATTTTCCATTGATTCTTCTGCATAGTTACATTTTTAGCACTATTCATTCTGTTCTATTCAGTTCTTGCTGTGTCCCAAATTAATTCTTTTTCTAGTCTTTTTTTCCCCCAGTACTGGGGGTTGAACCCAGTCTTCACATTCATTTACTTCCCCAGCTCTTTTTTTTTA